TGTACAAGCTGAGCTGCTCCCCAGCCCTGGTTTTTTGGTTTTGGTTTTGGTTGGTTGGTTTTTTTGTTTTGGTTTTGGTTTTGTTTTGAGATAAGTTATTACTCAGTACCCCAGGCTAACATGAAACTCGTATTGTAGCCTAGGCTAGTGCTGATCTTACAGCAGTACTTCTGTAGCCTTGGCTGTCCTCTAACTCGCTCTTAGACCAGGCTGGCCTCGAACTCACAGAGATCCACCTGCCTCTGCCTCCTGAGTGCTGGGATTAAAGGTGTGTGCCACTGTGGCCCAGCTTAATGAAGAGTGTGTTAAGATCAAGAGAGTTAAGTAGTACAGTTAACAAGTGGAGTAGATAGAACTCTGTTCTAGCCTGTGACTAAGAGCTTTGCCTATGGGCTTGAACTGACTCGCTCTACTGCAACCTTGTCCCATAGCAGCTGCCTCCAGTATAATCTCCAGCAGTGGCACCAGTGCTGCTTGCAGTAAAGGGACTCTAAGGCTAAATAAGTTGGATTGCAGCTAAAAGTGAAGTCTCTTAGCAGGCAATAGTGGCACAAACCTGCCAAACTGGTACTTGGGAGGTGGAGGCCAGCCTGAGCTATATGAGACTCTGCCTCAAAATAATTTAGTAAAGGAGGAAATAAAATGAAGGGTCTTTATTACAGTTTTCCCTGAGAATTTGATATGTATTTTAAATTAATCAAAAGTTAATGACTGCATTATTTCTCAAATTTCTTTGGCCATAGACGTTTGGCTCATGTTATTGGACTAGTTAGCATTCACCAAACATCTTGGGAAGTGATGCTTTAGGTCTGTGCTTTTCATGTATAGCAAAAGAGCCCGGGAGTCCTGCAGGTGAGAGGGAAGCTCGCGAGCTGGTGGAGCACGCCTGTAATTCCAGCATTCGGGTGGCAGAGGGGGAAGGATCTCTGAGTTCCGGGCCAGTCTGCTTCACGTCATGAGTTCAAAACAGCTAAGGTTACATAGTAAGATCCTGTCTCAAAAAGGAGGGGGAAGGCAGGCCACTAGAGACCATGTCGGTCTTATTCACCTCTATCCACTGCGTAAGCATATGGAAGTACTTCATGTTTCTTGAGTGACTGAATTAAAGAATTAATTGGGCCGGGCGGTGGTGGCGCACGCCTTTAATCCCAGCACTTGGGAGGCAGAGGCAGGCGGATCTTTGTGAGTTCGAGGCCAGCCTGGTCTACAGAGCGAGATCCAGGAAAGGCGCAAAGCTGCACAGAGAAACCCTGTCTCGAAAAACCTAAAAAAAAAAAAAAAAAAAAAAAAAAAAAAAAGAATTAATTGGTTTCGTTACTAAAAAGTAAATGGTAACTAAAAGGGGATGTGATTCAAAGGAGTTTGTGGCTATATTTTTACGATGTATTTATTTTGTGCTGGAAGGAGGGCTCAGTGGTTAAGAGCACTTGCTACTTTTCTAGAGGACCTGGGTTCAGTTACCAGCACCAATGTGGCAGCTCACAACAGCCCATGGTTGGGATGTGGGAACCAGGCATACATGCAGGGCCCTTGCAAACATGCCGGCAAAATACTCATGAGCATAAAATGAAAATGCATCTTTTATTAGAAAAGAATGTATGTGTTTTGCATGTATGCATGATACTTGTGGAGTCCAGAAAGGGGCACATGATCCCATGGAACCGGAATTACAGACTGACTGTTGTAAACCAGCAGGTGATGCTAAGCATCAAGCCTGTGTCCTCTGCAGCAGCAGCAAGTGCTCTTAGCCATCTCTCCAGGATGGTTTGTGACTCTCTGGACTGTACTGGAGACTTTATCAGGACAGGGAGCATATTTGCTCATTGTAGTCACTGGTATTGGTACATAGTAACAAGTGAAATTGCTACAACTCTCTTGTTACTGTTGTTGCTTGAAGAATTTGTTGTAGCAGCTGGGAGGTGGTGGCCTTTAATCCCAGCACTTGGGAGGCCGAGTTCCAGGCCAGCCTGGTCTACAGAGCGAAATCCAGGACAGGCACCAAAACTACACAAAGAAACCCTGTCTTTTTTGGGGGGGGGATGTGTAGCACAGGTGGAAAGTAATAGATAACAAGAGATTTCATTTAGTTACTCTGTCAGTGCTAGGTAGTGGTGGTTACACCGAAGTACAGGAATCTCTACCTGTGGAAGAATTTGCTTTCCATAAATTCAGTTACCCGAGGTCAACAATGGAGGCTATTGAGATGACTCAGCAGTAAGAGCACTCACTGCCCTTCCAGAGGACCTGGTCCAGTTTCCAGCACCCCCATGTGACTCGCAACCATCTGTAACTCCAATTTCAGGGAATCCAGTGCCCTCTTCTGATCTCCATTGGTGTCAGATACAAATATGGTACACATACATACATATAGGCAAAGCATTCATAGACATAAAGATGAAATAAATCTTAATAACAAAAAATTCAAAATCAACCATGGTCCAAAATTATAGGAATGAACAGTTTGCAAATTAGAATACTGTTCCAATTAACTTGATGAAGTCTTCTACACCACTCCATCTCACCAGGACTTGAACCATCTCTTTCTAGCACACTCACACTACCATGCTCCCAACTAGTAGTCATTCAGGGCCTCAGATGGACTGTGGCAGCACTACAGTATGTCAAGTAGCCCTTAATTCGGTAAAGATCCAAAGCTTAAGAATAATGATGCTGGAGCCTGGCATAGTGGTGCACGCTTTTAATCCCAGCACTGGGGAAGCAGAGGCAGGTGGAACTCCGTGAGTTCGAGGACAATCAGAGCTACATAGAGAGACCCTGTATCCAAAAAAAAAATTTTTTTTATTTAAAAGGAGAGAGTAATAATGCTGCGAATTCAGATGTGCCAAAGAGATGGTATAAAGTGCTTCACTTAAATAAAAAGATGATGGTACACTGAGATATTTTGTAGGAGACCTGTCTGAATGGCAGTGCTCAGAGGCAGGCAGACCATGAATTTTAATTAGACACCAGCCTAAACTATATAGTGATACCCCATCTGGAAAGAGAGGAGAGCGGGAGAGGGAAGGAGCTACATTTATGTAACTCATTTACTGTTATTCTATCTATTTAAATAAGGCATATAATAAAATGCCTTCATTTATTTATTGAATTTTGTTATGGGAATATGCATACTGAAAAATGAGTGTGTTTTTGGTTTGGTATCTTCCATGGTTTCAGACTAACACTGGGTATCAGGTCTTGTTTGTTTGTTTGTTGGGGTTGAGTGGGTGCAGTCTTGTTTTGTAGCTGGAGCTCTCCTAGAAATTACTACACAGTCCACGCTTGCTGTAGACTCTAAGAAGTCCCTCAGCTTCAGAATCCCAAGAGCTAGAATTACGTACAGGTACAAGCCACTCTACCCTGCTTCTGATGGGCTCTTGAGGAAATACTAGATTTTAAATTTCTTTTTGCCACCAAAAGAGTATAATTTTCTAATTAAATATTTCCAACACCCAAAAGGATAAATTTAGGACACGATATAAAAATTAAAAACCTCATGGTATAAAATAATGTTGTGTGATCTGAATGTGAATGCCCCCTGACACACACACTTATTTGGAACACCTGGTCCTCAGTTGGTGGTGCTGTTTGGGAAGGGTGTGGAGCAGGAAGTGGACTGTTGAAGGATGCACCCTGAGTGTAGGTGCAGAGTGACCAGTCTTCTGTCTCTGCCTTCTCTGTCCATTGCCCTGTCTCCCTGCCTCTACCCCCACATAATGAATCGTAAACCAAAATAAACCTGTCTCCTAAGATGCTTCTGTCAGAGCATTTTATTACACTAGCAGAAGAGTAAGACCCTGTGGGTGTGATGGCTCTCACAGAGACAGAGTTTGGAGGATCTGTACAAGTTCAAGATCAGCATAGTCTACATAGTGAGTCCCATGTCCGCCAGGGCTACGTAGTAAGACCCTGTCTCAAAACAAAAGGCTAATATATAAGAAAAGAGGTTCACGGCTCCATTATCCGTACTAGGAGTTGATGATTACCAGTTCCCAGGGTGTCTTTCCCCCATTGGTTCCCTTCCCTTCCTCCCTGAGTGTCACCATTATTCTAGATGTCATTCTTAGCGTTCATTCACCTTTCTGGTTCAGGTTTGCTGAGTGTGTGTCCTGCAAATTGTGAGTGGCATTTGAGGGATTGCTTGTGTGTGTTGTGTTTTCAGGCAGGGTGTTATTTATCCCGGGCTGGCCTTAAACTGTAGCTTGAAGATGACCTTGAAACTTTGATCTTCCTGCCCCCCCCCCCCCCCCCCCCCCCGCCTAGTACATGCTTTTGACGTTTAGTTTATTTAATGCTAGATGTGATGGTTTTCAGTCCATATTTTTGTTTGTTTATGACAAGGTTTCTCTATGTAGCCCTGGTTGGCCTGGAATTCACTTTGTAGACCAGACTGGCCTTGAACTCAGAGATCCACTGCCTCTGCTTCTCTAGTACTAGGATTAAAGGTGTGCGCCACTGTGCCTGGCCAGTGTTTACTTTTGAAGGTGATGCATATACTACAATTCCGGCCTCGCTGCTGCTTTGACTGTTCTCTCACTGGTTTTACTCTTGTATCAGTGGACATTTTAGTTTGTTTTTTTTTACTTTTACAGTTTTCAAATGATAACAGACCCCTCTGCTATAAACATTCTTATATATTTTTCAAGTATATATTTGTAAGTAGTTTTCTAGAATACGAAGGAATAGTAAAGCTGAGTGCCAGAATCTTCAACTTTATAAAGATAGATTTCCCAGTGCATTTGGATTTAACAACGGGTGGGGGGCTTTTTCATTTTTCTTAAGATGGTGTTTATGATTGGCATCTCATCAAGGTTTTAATGTGACTCTCGTGACTTGTACTGAGGTTAAATTTTAGCCATAATGTTTCCTGAGTGAATGCTTTTTCTTCTCTTTTGCCTACTTTGTTGATTCATAGATGATTTTTATATATCTAGAAAGTATCAGATTTTTATATTGCAAGTATTTTTTTCAACAGTGGCTTACCTTTTTCTTTTTAATAGAGCAGAGATGATGCTGACAGGAATGACAAGGCTTTTCTCCAGGGTCCAGAAGGTGAGTCCTGACAGACTGCTCACACGCTTCACTGTCAGGTGAAGTTCTCAGCAGAATCCCTGGCTTGGAGGTAGGTGTGCCTGTAATCCAGTGATGGAGAGCTAAGACAAGAGGACTGGGAGATCACGTCCAGCCTGACCTGCCAAGTGAGACTCTGCCTAAACAGCACACAAAAACAGTCTGCTTGAGACACCATGTGATAGGATAACGAGCATTTTTAAAAACTGGTAAATTTGAACTATTTAGAAGAAAATCAAGTTGGCTTTTAGACATGGCACTTTTGATCATAGAATTAAATCATATATTAAAAGGCTGTCTCAGGAGGCTGGATAGATAGCTTAGTTAGTAAGGTGGTAATGCCTGGCAAGCGTGAGGACCAGAGTGCAGCACTCAAGGAAAAGCTGGAATGTGTGTGACCCCAGAACTGGACGGGTGGACAGAGGTAGATCTCTGAAGTGCATTGGCTGGCCGGCTTCGCCAAATTGGTAAACCCCAGATTCATTGAAAGACCCTGCCTCCAAAAGAAATAAATAGATAAGTAAAACCCTAAGGTAGAGAGCAATCAAGGAAAATGCTTGCAGTCAACCTCTCGCCACCACACATGCACACACGTGAACCAGTACATACATGGCAGACACAAGCTAAGACCTACATTTGGGCTGGGGATGAAGCTCAGTAAAGTGCTTGCCCCACATTCAGAAAGTCCTGGGTTCGGTTTCCAGCACTACGTAAACTGAGTATGGCAGTGCATGTGGAATCAAGAGCCCAGACTTTGGAGGAAGACGCAGGAGGAGTTTCTGGAACTCAGAAACTCAAGGTCATTTTCAGTCATATAACACATTTGAGTCTAGCCTGGAGTACATGAGACCCTGCCCACCCTCCCATGCTCCCCTCCAAAAAAGATAAGGGACAGAAAGATAATCATGAGTTAGGAACTCATGCTGAACAAACATAGGACCAGAGTCCGAATCTCCAGCATCCGTGGAACAAGTTGAGCTTTCCACAAACACTTGGAACTCCAGGTCTGAGGGGAATCTAGCTCTTTTTTCTCTGGCCTCCACACACCACACCACCCCACCACATGCGTATACACTAGGGCAGACACATACAAACACGAAGAAAAGACCATCCTAAAGACCATGGTGGCGCAGTTGGGGCCTAGAGGAGCACTTGGGGAACTAAGACAGACGGACTGAGGCTAGCCTGAGCTACATGGAGAACCCTGCCTCGAACCGGAGGAAAGATGTTATCTTACTGGTTTCTTTTATTCTTTTTAACTATTTACCAAATATTTGTTGTGGGTTTTGTTTGTTTGTTTTTATTTTTTATTTATTTTTATTTATTTATTTATTTATTTTTAGCAGGATCTCACTATGTAGCCTCAGCTGTCCTGGAACTCACAGGAATCCACCTGCCTTTGCTTCCCAAGTGCTGGGACTAAAGACATGCACACACACACATCCAGCATGCTTTATTTCTTTTGATCTTCATGGCAGTACAATATCCTTGTTTTAAAGTTGCAGAAACTGGATTAGAATGGATAAGTAACTATTAGGAAAGCGGGCCATGAAGCTGGAAAGGCTTGTATTGTATAGATGCAGCTGGTGGACGTCAAAGCCTATGTCCTAACTGTAACAGGCTTTCTTGTCGGACTATTTTTGGACCGCCAGCCTGCAGTGATGACCTGGAGACTTACTATTCATTGTGAAAGCTTGGTCTTGGCTTAGGTTTTTTTCACAGTTAGCTCTTATAACTTAACCCATATTTTTTGAATCTACGGTCTGCCAGGTGGCTTGGTTACCTCTTAGTAGAGTACATCCGACATGCTCCAACGGGCACTGAGTCTGTGTCCAAATCATGCACCAAGATTCCTTCTCCCAGTCTCTCTCTCTCTCTCTCTCTCTCTCTCTCTCTCTCTCTCTCTCTCTCTCTCTCTCTCTCTCTCTCTCTCTCTCTCTCTCTCTCTCTCTCTCTCTCTCTGCCTGGAAATCCTACCTGTTCTCTCCTGCCTAGCTATTGGCCATCTAGTGTAGCATGAATTAGATACAGTTTAGCTCTATTAACCAATCAGAAGGTGCCTTAGGCAGAGACATACTCTCCAGTGTAAACAAATATTCCATGACAGCCATGGTCCAGAAGCACACAGTTCAGCAGTCATGGATAAATGACTACCCTGACCGTCTCAGCCTTGGTTAGTTGAGAACCAGAAATCCTCATAGAATTAAGTCTGAAGGACGAGAAGTGAAGAAAGGTCACTTGTCACAAAGCGTGTGCTTACAGCAAGAGTCCTTAGAAAAAGAACACTCACCTTGACGGTTTGGGAGGTGTCTGTCGTTATCTGGTTCTTTTTCTTTTACCACATCCTACCCTGGGATTTATAAAAAGCCTCTGTCCATTTTAGAGAATCAAAACAAAACAAAAAAATTACAAAAGAAAGAAAAGTAAATTTGGGGCAAGAAAGTGGGCTTGGTAGTTCAGAGTGCTTGCTGCTCTTGAAGAGGACCTGAGTTTGGGTTCTAGCACCTATGTGAGGACTCCTAACTACCATAGCTTCAGTTCCGGAGGCTCCAGTGCCCTCTTCTGGCCTCTTTGAGCATCAGGCATGCTCACATTCATTTAACACACATGCATACAAAATACTGATACACGTGAAAGAAAAACTGTGGGCCAAGTGTGGTGGCACATCCATGTCATCTCAGGCAGGGGGCAGAGACAGCAAATCTCTAAATTCAGGTCAGTGTATTTACATAGTGAGTTCAGGGCAGCTAGAGTTCCATAGTGAGACCCTGTCTCAAAGAAAGGGCGTGTAGTTGGAGAGTTGGCTAAATGGTAAGAGCACTGGCTGAAGATGCTGTGTGAGCCCCAGCACTGACTTAGTGGCTCACAACCGTCTGTAACTCCAGTTCCAGGGGAGCCCTCTTCACTCTGGCCTCTGAGGGTACTGTTGGACATACGTGGTGCGCAGACATGCATGCGGGCAAAACACCGATGTGCATCATAATTAAAGATAGATAGATAAATAGATAGATAGATAGATAGATAGATAGATAGATAGATAGATAGATATCCCCGGAGCTGAGGACCAAACCCAGGGCCTTATGCTTGCTCGGCAAGCGCTCTACCACTGAGCTAAATCCCCAACCCTAAATACATATTTTTTAGTGTAAATGTTTTGAGTTTGGCTCAGAATGACCTAGTCTGGCCCACTGGTGGTTTGGGAACTGCATGATGTTCATTCTGGAACTCAGCAGAGGGAATTGTACATAGGTTTGTTTTCCTAGAAGTGAGACTTTTATAACACTTTAAGACATAGGAATCCATTTTGTTAACTTTTTATTTACTGAAGAAAAAAAAATCTAGCTAAAAATTGATCAGAGTACTGCAGAAATAGCACCCCCTTGTGGCGCTGGAATATTTTTAGTTAATTTTATTTGTGTGTCTCCCTGTTTGTTGGCATGTATATCTATCTGTGCACCATGTGCATTCCTGGTGCCTGTGGAGGCCAGAAGAGGGTGTAGATCACCTGGGACTGGAGTTACAGATTGTTGTGAGCTACCATGTGGGTGCTGGGAATAAACCAGGATCCTCCGGAAGAGCAGCCAGTGCTCTTCACTTATGGGCCATCTCTCCAGCCTGCTCCTCTGTCTCCTCTTTATCCTTCTTTTGGTTTTTCGTTGTTTGTTTTTTGAGAAAGGCTCTTACTATTCTGTTCCCGAGGCTGCCACAGCAAGAGATGAGGGAACTTAAGACACTCTCAGCTGGACTTGATTTTAAATGACTGTAATTATTTTCACTCCTGGCTCTGTAGCCAAAAGTAATTGCACGACCCCAGCCTATCTGTAGGAGAGACCAAGAAATGTAAAGCAATATTTGCCCTGTTTGGTAGACAGGACGCTCTCTGCTGTAAAACTGACTTAGCTCAGGCTCTCAAATCACAGCAGCCTGTTTCTTTACACTGCCACTTTGTGTTGAAATCTGCCAGTAATGTTTCAGAGCTGGTGTGCGCTTGGGAGGGGAGACAGGAGGATTATTGGAGTTTGCTGGCCAGCCACAATATCCAAATGAGTGAGCTACAGGCTTGGTGAGAGACCGGTTCAGAAAAATAAATAAATAAAGTGGGAAGTGACTAAGGAAGGACACATTTTGTGAGCAAGAAAGAACCATTTAGAGGGACAATTTACAACCATCCACACTGAAGCACATTGCACTAACCCCTCATGGTGGAGGCTTGCAGTTCCTATGCCTTGTAAAGTTACAGTGTCAGGAATCATGCATCACAGTGGCCAAGTGGATTAAACAAATTTCCTGAGCTAAGCACATGAATACACCTACCTGTGTTCCAAGATACTCAGAATGCTAAGAACTAAAATTTCAGTGTCATGTTTAGGGACACAGCTTGAGTCCTCGGTTACAACAGCATTTAAAAACCTGATGACTCTAGAACACTGACAGGTTTCCTTTTGCAGTTGGACCCAAGGTGTTTTTTTCCACATGAGTGCCCAAGGAGCTCAGAGCAATCCTGTTCCAGCTGAGCATCCCAGAGCTATTTCCCGCACCGGTGACAGTGACCCGGTAAGTTGTCGAGTGGGTAGTTTCAGAGATTATAACTTGTGTTGCCATATATCCCTTTACATATCAGGAAACTGGTTTCCATATGCTCAGGTAGATGAGGCACGTGGCTAGCACTCAAACATGGTCTTCCCTTTGCTTCATGGTGCTGTGGAAATACAAAGTACAGTTAGTCCACATTCCTTCTCATGTCATCTTAATAATGAATTCATCGAGTGCCAAGAATTCTTGCTGAATTAAAAATTGGCTAAATTAGGCTGGGCGTGGTGGTGCACACCTTTAATCCCAGAGGAGGCTGACGGATCTCTGTCAGCTTAAGGCCAGCCTGGCCTACATAGTGAGTTTCAGGACAGCCAGGGCTATGTAGAAAGATCCTGCCTCAAAACAAACAAACAAAAAAATTAGCTAAATTCATTTCCTTCTGAAATAATTTTGGTACAAATTATCTTTTGGTGGGGGGCAACTCTCCTTAAATGCCCAGTTGGTGTGTATTTTAGACTTTGGTTTAAGAGGGTTCTTCATGGCTCTTCAGCCCTGTTGTGATCACGCAGGTATGTGGTTATATTGCAGGAGAATCTTACTTAAACACAGGGTCCCCAGACTTGGGGAGAGAAAAGCCCAGCGGGATAGTCCGTGACTAGCGCGCTGAAGACCCCGGATTTCTTGTGCATGGTGGTGCGTGTCTTTAATCCCAGCACACATTTTCCCTCTTCTGGTGTCTGTCAGCAGTAACGTTCCGGTGTAAACCCAGGCAGACTGGGCGCTGACTCTTCTCCTCAGTGCCCAGTGCTGGTGCCATCTCTTAGAAATGAAGTCAATTGTGTGGGCTGTGCTTTCTGTAATGTGAAAGAAGCCATCAGCTTTTTTTTATGTGCTTGTCCCAATCTGATTCTTCTCCTCCTAATATGACTGTTGAAATTTAAAAAGATAACCCTCTACCAAAACATAATTTCTTTGGGGTATGTTTAAAAATTTGTAGTTAGCATTCGCCTCTTCTCACAAATGCAAAATGAAATAGAATAAATTAAGGAAGTCACTCTAAAGCATCTTTCAGTGCTATTTTTCAAGTCCTCTAAGGTTTCTATGGAAACAGCATCACGCAGATGATCTTACCACATGACTGGAGCATCTCTTCACAGCATAAAAGAATCCAGGTGGCAGAAATTATGTCTGTCCCCATCAACAGTGTATACCTGAACAACTAACTTTTATTAGGCCGGCCACCAAGTTTATACAATATTCTACACAGGATTTGGGGATGCCAACACTTTATTATATGTATTTGTTAGGGGGGTGGATTTATGCCTGTGTCATACGGAGATCAATGAACAACTTTTGGGAATTGATCTCCTTCCACCATGTGGGTCCTCTGTTTTGAACTCAAGTTGTCAAGCTTGGTGACAAGTACGTTTAGCACTGAACCGAACCATCTTGCCATCTCAGCAGCAATGAAATGAAGAGACAGGCCTGGCGGCACACGTGTAATCTCAGCAGTCAGGAAGCTATGGCAGGAAGATTGACAAAAGTCCCACGCCAGCCTGGGCTACACAGCATCTCAGAGGTATCTGTATCTCAGATACAGAAACACTTCCTGCCCTGAGATGTTGCTGTCTGCCCCGCTGTGCCTGGTAGGGGTACCTGCTCTGTGTGCTGGTTAGCTGAGTTTTAGGCTTGGTTTGATTTCAGTTTTTTGTTTTGTTTTTTGTGTTTTGGTTGTGGATTTTTTGGTTTGTTTGTTTTTGTTGGATTTGTGTGTGTGTGTGTGTGTGTATGTATTTTTTGGTGGTTTTGTTTGTTTGTTTAGTTTTTTGAGGTAGGGTCTCTATAGCCTAGGCTGGCCTGAAATATTCATGATAATTCTGTTTCAGCCTTTGAGCTCTGGGATAATAGGAGTGTGTCATACCTAGCCTAGCTTCTTTTCAAAGCCCAGATCACTTTGTGACCTCTTGTCCCTGTTTGTGTTCATGTTTCCAGGCTAAGCATGGGGAGCAGCATGAGGGCCAGTACTACAGCATCCCCCTCCAGGATCTGAAGACGGTATTTCCTCATGGCCTGCCTCCTCGATACATGATGCAGGTAGATGCTCAGACAGAGAACAGAGCAGGGAAGCCCAGTGTGCAGTTGTGGGGAAGGGTTATCGTGACACAGCAACATAGCGTCATGGCAGGACGTGGCAGGCATCACTGCTCACCTCTTGGTGGTGAGGCAGCGGAGAGAGAAGGACCAAGAGAAGGTGGCTGGGGGCAAGGTGTACCCTTTGATGACATGCCCTCAGTGCACCTCCTCCCCTAATTAGGCCCCATCTTCTGGTAATGCCATCAGATTATGAATCGATCATTGGTCCAAAAAGTCAGAGCCCTTGAGAGCTAGCGCTTCCCAAGTCCTACCTCTGAATGTTGAGTGAGCGCTGTCTTCAGATACAGGAGGTTTGGAGAGACGGTTGTCACCCACATCATAACATTCGTGCAGATCTTCTCCATTATCCTATCTACATGGAGGCCTGCTCCTGCTGTTCTTTAGTTTTTGTCTGCCACGCTGCCTGATGAGACATTGCTGCTCCATTCATCTTTGTTTCATTTCACTGTCCAGTGTGGGCTTGTCAGGACCCACGCCATCAGTTCATTAATTTGTCTGGTCTGCACAAAGCCCTGGATTTCATTCCCATCATCACAATATTAAATACATATAAAGAAGAAGCATCAGGCTAGAGAGATGGCTCAGCCGTTAAGAGCAGAGGTCCTGAGTTCAATTCCCAGCAACCACATGGTGGTTCACAACCATCTGCAATGAGATCTGGTGCCCTCTTCTGTCTTTCATACAAATATTCATACAAATACATATACATAAAATACATAAATAAATAAATCTTTAAAAAATCAAAAGCTAGCTATTTATGTTACTTGATATGAAACAGTGTACCTCAGATTTTAGCTAAAGTACATGGATCAATTTTCAAATTCTGTGCCAACCCAGCCTCATAAGTGAGTGCAGATGAGTTTGGAGCTCTGGTTTGCTGTGTCATGCTTAGAATGGCTGGAAGTTCCATGCCCCTCTTCTTCCCCTCCTGCTCGCTTAGGTGAAGACCTTCGGTGAGGCTTGTCTGATGGTAAGGAAACCAGCTCTAGAGCTTCTGGGCTACCTGAAGAACACCGAGTTTGCCCATCCAGCTGTGCGGTATCTTCTCTGTATCCTTCCCGACAAGCCTGGGACCTCTTGAGTTCTCCCCTTGTGTGAGAAAAGGAGGTGCTGGTTGTTTGGGTTTGGTTTTTTGAGAAGGTCTTGCTATGTAGCAGTGGCTGGCCTCACACTCATGCAGATCAGCTGCCTCTGCCTCTGCCCCTGCCTCTGCTGAGTGCTGGAATTAAAGCCTTGCACCACCATGCCTGGCAGAGAAATGCTGTTGATGGGAAACATGTTGCTTATGATGTTTTCTTTAACACACACCTTAGATGGGGAGAAGGGAACAGGGAAAACTCTCAGTCTTTGCCATGCTGTTCATTTCTGTGCAAAACATGACTGGCTGGTTCTGCATATCCCGGATGGTAAGAACTTCCTGTCTGTCTTGTCTATGTCCGATAGTTGTCCTGCTGCTCAGGCAGCCTGTGACTGCTTGAGAGACCACGGCCATGGTGCAGTGCTAATGCTAACTCTGAATTCTTCAGCTGAGACAAACCCCCTCCTGCCTTGGTTTCAAAAGGTGACTACAGACACACAACCACTGTTTGTTTGTCTGACAGTTACTATTTTGAGTATCCACAGAGCCTGCACATTCCTTGACACTTTAGAGTTCCAGTTCTGCAGGATAGATTTGAATCCTCATACTTTGCATTTATCTTCTTTTTTCAAAGTTATGTATATCCACATTTTCCAATTTGCCTTTAAAAATTGGCAGTAAGCTGGGGTGGCCCACGCCTTTCATCCCAGCACTCGGGAGGCAGAGGCAGGCAGATCTCTGTGAGTTCAAGGCCAGCCTGGTCTACAGAGTGAGATCCAGGACTGCCTGCCAGGGCTACACAAAGAAATCCTGTCTCGGAAAAAAAACTTTTTTTTTTAATTAAAAATAAATAAACACATAAAAATCGGCAGTGAGAAGAAAGGGCAGTCCACTCCATGTCTTGTGTGCTGATTATAATGTAATGTTTGGTCTGAAATCAGTAACATACAGGATCAGTCCCCAGTGCCACTGCACACAAGAAAATATGTTCTTTTTTTTTTTTTTTTTAATATTTCCCATAATTTAAAGAGTCACTCACGGGGCTGGAGAGATGACTCAGTGGTTAAGAGCACTGGCTGCTCTTGCAGGGAACCTGGGTTCAGTTCCCAGCACCACACAGCAGCTCTAACTCTAGTGCCGGGAACCCCGGGCCCTCCTCTGACCTCTGCTGTCAAAGCGGTCGTGATACAAAATGAAAGAAGCGGCGTCACGTCACTACAGTCAGTTCCTAATCTGTTTTCTTGTGCGTTTTGTAGCTCATCTCTGGGTGAAAAACTGCCGGGAGCTCCTGCAGTCCGCCTACAACAAAGAGCGCTTTGATCAGCCCCTGGAGGCTTCTACCTGGCTGAAGAACTTCAAAACCACAAATAAGCACTTCCTGAGCCAGGTGACCGCAGCCAGGAATTCAGTGCAGGCTGACCTTTGCCCCTTTCCATCCTCTTTGCTGCTTCAGTAGCCGGGCACTGTAGAGAAGGGCCAATGTAATAGGAATAAGTAAGCATTTTGTGTCCCTTTAATATGTTTTGCTCACAGTGGGCTCACAACTTAAAGTTCATTTTTTGTTATCAAAGAGGTGGCAGCTATAAGCTGTTCATTTAGTGGCTAGTAAAGTAAAAGTCTGAATTGACTTACTGTTTCTGAGAGATCCTTGAATCCTCCACAAGCGTTGGCCAGCAGTAAGGTTTTCCTCCAGATAAACCGGAAACATGAGGGGAAGCTCTTTTCCAGTTTTAGTTTGATGTTTCATTTGCTGTGTGGTTTGGGCTGGCTCTGAGCCTCCTGTGTATCCCAAGCTGCCTCAGCCTGGAGTGCACAAAACCCCGCACTCCAGCATCTTCCATCGAGTTCTAGACTGAGGCGTTCCCACTGCAGTATAAACAGTCCGTTATGTCCTGACACCGTGAGCCAGCTGGGAGCTGAAGCAACTCTTGCCACTGTACCTCCTGACCCGAGTCAGAAAGCAGGACCCACATGATGGGAGGAGAAAACTTACTCCTGCATGGTGGCCCGTGTGCACCCTCACTGGGGCACATACACAAATAAATAAGGGTATTTTTGAAAATGGGAGTGCCAGCTGGGCCGTGGAAGCTCAGGCCCAGCACTTAGGAGGCAAAGGCAGGTGGATCTCTGAGTTTGAGGCCAGCCTGGTCTACAGAGCTTACTTCCAGGACAGCCAGGGAGACACAGAGAAAGCCTGTCTGGGGGAGGAAAGAAAAGGAAAGAAAAACGTGAATGCCAAGACTTGATGTAGCGCAGAGGAGAGTACCTACCTAGTATGCTTGAAGCTTGGGATTTGATAATGGGTACTCTGGGGTGAGTGGGACAATGCCAGTGGCCTGTTGGGACATTTTTCGTGGTACTTCACAGCTTTAATCCCAGCACTTAGAAATCTGAGACAGGGTAATTGTCTTAAGTTGGAGGCCAGCCTGCACTAAAGTCAGACTCAGAGTCAGGTCCCCGCCCCCTCCAGGAGAGAGGTGAGAAGTCTTTGATTCCTACATTGCACCTCCTTGTGGTTCAGCTGAGTCTTTCAGGCTGCCGTCCTGACTTGGAAAGGCTTTAGCCTAAACAAGCAGCCTGTTGGGTTTTCTTTCTTTGTTTGCTTACTTTTAGATAAAAGTTGAAGAGAGGTACGTTTGGAATAGGAGAGAGAGCACGGAGAAGGGCAGCCCTCTGGGAGACATTGTGGAGCAGGGCATTACTCGAGTGAGGAACGCCACAGACGCTGTGGGGGTCGTGCTGAAGGAGCTGAGGAGGCAGAGTTCCCGAGGACTCTTCCGCCTTCTGGTAGCAGTGGATGGGGTCAATGCTCTCTGGGGAAGGACCACACTGAGAAGAGAAGACAAGACCCTGGTAGGAATATTTGGTTTCTCTGAATCTCTCACGTCCAAGGCCTGGTGCTTCCTGGGTGGGCCACATAGGACATTTTTCACCCTGGAATTTGAAGTATAGAGCTGGAACAGTAGCCGAGTGGTTCGGAGCACTGACTGCTCTTGCCGAGGACACAGGTTTGGTCCCCAGTGCCCAGATGGCAGCCCACAGCCATCTCTAACTCCAGTTCCCGGGGATCCACCACGCTCACCACGCTCTCATGCAGTGGACGTACATGCATCCAGGGAAAACACTCATGACACATAAACATAAATAAATCTTTACAAACAACACAAAGGTAGGAAACAGTAACAAGCCGCCAGTGTGGTGTGGGGAGCACATGAGTGCCTAGTACGTGGAAGGCCACAGGCTCCATGTCCAGCACTCTACAAAAAGGCGGGGAGGGAGGTACGATGAATTCGTTACAAAAAGAAAGAAAGTGATATGTCTTAGTTGGCTTTTTTTTCTTTTCTTTCTTTTTTTTTTTGGTTTTGTTTGTTTGTTTGTTTTCTGAGAGAAGGTTTCTCTATATAACAGTCCGGGCTGTCCTGGATCTCCCTCTGTAGCCCAGGCTGGCCTCAAACTCACAGAGATCCTCCTGCCTCTGCCTCCCGAGTGCTGGGATTAAAGGCGTGCGCCACCACCACCTGGCTTAGTTAGCTTTCCATTGCTGTGATAAAACACCATGACCCAAAACGATGTGTGGAGGAAAGGGACAGATCCATATGAGAGTGGCCCACTGAAGGAAGCAGGGCGGAACCTGGAGACAGGAACGGATGCAGAGACCACGGAGGAGTGATATGGCTTGCTCCCCTGGCTTGTTCAGTTTGTTTTCTTATACACCCCAGGACCACCTGTCCACGGGTGGCACCACCCACGGTGGGCTGCTCCCCACTCTCCCCATCAATCAGTAATCAAGAAAATGCCCCACAGGCTTGTCCGTGGGCCAGTCTGATGGCAGCATTTCCCAGTTGGAGTTGACTCTTCCCAGATACCCCTGGCTTGTGTAAAGTTGACAAAAACTACCCGGCACCTGTCACGTGCTCCATCACGCATCGCAAACCAGGGGACATGTTGGAAAGAGCAGGACAGCGGAGCTCCGGGAGCTCTGCTCTCTTCCTTGGTTCTAACTTATTTTCAAAGAGAGGCTGTGGTCTATGTAGAGATCAGAAATACCAAGGCAGGAAGGTATCCTCTCCTCCTTCCTGCCTCTTCCTCTCCTTTCTCCTCGGCTCTCTTATTCCAGAGGCAGTATGTTCAGGTACTATGATTACAGTACCAGATTAAAAACTTTTCCTTTTATCTAATTGTCAGTTCAGTTTTCTCAGGGAAACAGCCCGAAAAGTAAACTCCTAATTTCTTGGCTCTCTTGCTGACAACATGCAGATTGCCCCAGGGGAACTATCCCTCGTCCACAGCCTGAGGAAAATGATGAAGAATGATTGGGTAAGTGCCCAGATGCTCCATACTTGCAGAGGAAAGTGTGTTTCCGTCTTTACTGTTCTTCTCTCTTACTTCCTATTTGTAGTTGTACAGTGAGGTGCTGCAGAAAGTTCCTTTACTGGCTAAGCCTTCTCATTAGTGTCTGTCTGTCTCTCCTTTTCTTGTTCTGTAATTTTTATTTGAGGCAGAGTCTCACTGTGTAGTCCTGGCTGGCCTGGAACTCACAGAGCTCCGCCTCCTGGGTCCTGGGAATTAAGACATGAACCTCAAGCCCAGCAAGACCGCTGGATAGGAGCTCATTGTATAGTTCAGGCTGCCTTAGAACTCATCTGCCCACACTCAATTCTTGGGCTTCATTCAGTTGCGTAAATGCTAAGATTGTAGGCGTTGCAGAAGAAATTGAAAACAAAAGTAGATTGTGATAAACTTAAGGTCTTGTGGTAATTTATTGTCAGAGCCAAATCAAGAAGCAGTGACTTTTGTTGCCAGTTAATTGTGCTAAACCACATTGTCATGGCGCTGTTGTGAAAAACCTACAGATGACTGTGGTGTGTCTGTCATTCCCATCTTTTTAAAATTCAACTCTTTCTTTTTTTCAGCATGGAGGTGCAATTGTGTTGAGTTTAAGCCAAACCGGGTCCCTCTTTAAGTCCAGAACAGCGTACCTGCCGCACGATCTTCTGGGAAAGGTCATGTCCTAGAAAACCACTCTGTCTAGAGCAACAGTTCTCAACCTGGGGGTCCCAACCCTTTTGAGGTCAAATATCAGATATCCTGCATATCAGATATTTACATCACGACCCATAAAGGTAGCAGAATTACAGTTATGAAGTAGCAATGAAATAATTGTATGGTTGGGGGTCACCACAACATGAGGAATTATGTTAAAGGGTCACAGCATTGGGAAGGTTGAGAACCGCTGCTCTACAGGCTGTCTCTTTCTTAGTAATATTTATTGGGGGGGGGGGGGTCACACACCATGGCACATGTGTGGAGGCCAGAGGCAACCTGCAGGAATTGGTTCTCTTCTACAGTGTGGGTTCTGGGACGCTGACACTGGACGTGAGGCTTACTGGCAGGTGCCTTTATTTTAAGATTTATTTTTTTTTTTAAAAAAGGTCTATTTGATTTGATTTTATGTCTGTATGTCTGAATTCGTGAATGTGCCTGTTGGATCCCTAGGATATGGAATTATGGGTGCTTGTGAGCCCACATGTGGGTGCTAGAATTCAAGCACAGGGACTCTCCAGTAACAAGTGCTCTTAACTGATGAGCCATCTGTCCAGCACCCCCATGTCTTCTTGTGGTTGTTGTTGTTTAGTTTTTGTTTGTTTGTTTGTTTGTTTTTGGTTTTTTTTTTTGAGACGGGGTTTTTCTGTGTAACAGCCCTGGTTGTCCTGGAACTCGCAGTGTAGACCCGGCTGGCCTCGAATTCACAGTGATCCATCTGCATCTGCCTCCCGAGTGCCGGGATTAAAGATATGCGCTCCCATGTCTTTTTTTTTTTTTTTCTTTTTTTAATGTGTATTGTTGTTTTTCTGCATTTATGTCTGTGTGAAGGGGTCAGATCCCCTGGAACTGGAGTTACAGACAGTTGTGAGCTTTCATGTGGTTGCTGGGAATTGAACCCAGGTCATCTGGAAGAACAGCCAGTGCTCTTAACCACTGAGCCATCTCTGTAGCTCCTCCCATGTCTCTCTTTAAATCATTTAATTTTGTCATAATTTCACAGAAAAGTCCACATTCTTATATACCTTTCACCTCACTTCCAGAAATGCCAACTTTCATATTGTTTTATCCTCCTCACTTGCATTAATAGTAACCTGAATTAGAAACATTTGTCTCTCTCTAATATAATTGCTTCTTTGTTACACTGTGGGTTTTTTAGGGGAAGTTTTATTATTACCTTTTTTGTTGTTGTTTTGGTTTTTTTGTTTGTTTGTTTTTTTTTTGTGATGGGGGAACTAAGCACAAGTCCTGTGCATGCTAGGCCAGCCATGGTATGGATTTAAATTCTGAGAACAGGTCCCTCTGTCCTGGAACTCCCTATGTAGAGCAGGCTGGCCTCAGACTTACAGAGGGCTGTCCTCAAACTTACAGAGAGCCTCCCACCTCTTCTTTTTAAATACGTTGTGGCAATATAAGTAGTCACTAGTCACCATGGATACCATTCTCTATAAGGTAAGAAGCCAAGAGTGGGGGTAGACTGAGGCAGAGGGCAGGTCTCAGAGTAGGACAGAAGAAAAGGCCCTGTCCTCACAGGACAGTCACTAACTCTGTGTGTCTTTATCCTTTTCTTCTCCAGGAAGGATTTGATGCCTTAGATCCTTTTATTCCCATCCTTATTTCCAACTATAATCCAAAGGAATTTGAAAGTTCTTTTCAGTATTATTTAGAGAATCATTGGCTTCAGCATGAGAAAGGTCAGTCATGGGATCACCCTGCCCTGCCCAGCTGTTCACGGCAGGCTGTGCTGAGTCAGTGCACAGGGCACTGGACCACTTCGTAGCTTTGGGCTCACATCTTCAGAAGGATCAGCCATGGCCACGTGGCTCCATGATCTTGTGCGTGCAAGAGCAGAGTGTTCATGTCATTGCAGACAGAGAAACAAGGGGAGGCCTGGAGAATGTACAGCCCCCAAGGATACTCCTGCAGGAACCTGCTCCCTTCTGCTGGGCCCCTAATCCCACAAGTTCTCAGAGCTTCCCAAAATAGAACCACCAGCTGTGGACCCAAGCCCTCTGTACATGACCTACTCAAGCATAACACAGACCCTTGCTCTCTTCCTCAGCAGCAACCTGTGTTTTGTGTTTCATTTTTTCCCTTGGATTTTTTTCTATATATTAAGAGAATACAAAAATGTGATTTGAAGGTGGCTACATTTTAATTTCATAGTATATATTTCTGCTGAAATTCTCACCTTGTTGAGAAGAAAGCGTTGGTGCTAAAGAAGGTAGCAGTTTCCCGTCCAGCTGCTGGGGAGCTTCCACATGGCGGAGCTGCTGCGTTCCCACTGATCCCCCGCGCACTTACTCATGTGCTCCCATCCAAGACACCTGTACTGAAGAAATCATACTGTGTGACTGCCACCAGACCGGGTCTTTGCGGTCTCTGCCCTCATGTTCACAAATTGATAACTTTGTTTCCTGTTTCTCTTGTTTTTTGAGACAATGTCTCACTATGTACCTACGCTTACCTCACCCTCAGGGTCTAGTCTCTGAACCTCCTGAGGTGAAGCCTCAAGGGCGTATGTATACCACACCTAGGTTCAGAAGCTCTCTATGTAACAAACAGTCCTGGCTGTCCTGGAACTCGCTCTATAGTCCAAACTGGCCTTGAACTCAGAGAGATCCACCTGCCTTTCCCTCCCGCGTGCATCAAACTGCCCCAGGTTCCCGGCTTCAGGAGCTCTTAACTCTTAATGGCAGATTTGACAGCTTGCATTAGAAGCAGCCTAGTTTTTTGTGCGTCTGCTTTACCTCATGGAGACAAAGGAAAGTGCTGTATCCCTGAGTAATGGAGAGCCAGTAATGACTGCTGTGGTGCCAGTGCACGCTGGGTGACATGAGACCTTGCCTGACATGTCCTAGAGATTTGATCTCTAGCCTCGCCAATAGCAAAGTTGAAGCTAATAGTAATTAGAATGTGAGGCTAGAGTGGGGAAAATAGGAGCAGTGTGCTGAGCGGGAGGTGGAGGAGAAGGATCTCAGGGTTGGTAGACAGGTCATGATCTGAACAGGAAGCCTCTGACTACAGTTCAGAGCAGGGAGAAGCTGCATTTGGGTGTCTTTGCTCTCTTTCAGCTCCAACGGAGGAAGGGAAGAAGGAACTGAAGTTCCTGAGTAATTGCAACCCCGGGCAGCTGGAGCGGCTCTGCGCCTCCTTGTAAGCACCAACAGAGACAGCATTCCTGGAAGATGCCTCCCTTCCTGCTACCTCACGTGAGGAAGCCCCTGTGCACACGTGGGACAGCCTGGCCTGCAGTGATGGGACATATGGCGATAGGATGTCCGTTGTCCCTACAACTAATACCAGTTTTTTGTGGTTTTCACATTAAAGATAGATCTGTTTCTAAGTGTTGTGTTAGATTTGTAATAAGGAAAGTGTTCACACTGGCCAAATTGAATTTCTCTAGAATTCTGTTTGTTGGCATCTGAAGAAACTCAATTCTATAGAAATTACTAGTTGTTTTGTCTTCTGAACATAAATCATTCAGGAGACCAAGATTCCCAGCCTAATTCCTGTTCTAGTAACTTCTGACTCCCTGTTTGCGCCTTTCTTCTTGATTCTGCAGAATGGAACTGAAGCCCCAGCTGAGTTCTGGCAGGGTGGTGTAGCTAGCCCCGTCCCACCTCTTCCTGAGAGCATTGAGCACTTGCTACAGCCTGCATGGTATATAATAAGTTGGCACTAAAGAAGATACAATTATGTCTGTGTACACACCTTCAAAGAACTAAAGAGATAAGTGACTCATATCACAGAGTTTAAATTTTTATGATTGGGTGTGCACATGCCACACGCGGGAATGGAGGCCAGGGGACAACTGTTGGAAGCCAGTCCTCTCCTGCCACGTGTGTGTGCATTTGGGGACAGTGTCGGGGTGCATGTCATCTGCAAATGCCATCACTCACTTTGTCATCTCATGTAGGCCAGACTGAGCAGAACTTCCTGTGTAGGCAGGGATTATCTTGAAGTCAGGATCCTCCTGCCTCCACCTGAGTGCTAGGGTTACGTGTGTACCGTGCCCAGCGAGAACTCAGTATGTGGTTTCCAGATTTCCCACTGACTAGCTGTTTGCTTTTCTTGTCTCACTTTATCTAATGTTGGCAGTAAGGCTAAACTCTCGGGGTACTTGTGAGTACCTCACACACAGCAGGCAGCTGCTCACTGCTAGGAAGCTCTCATCCTGCCTTGGATGGTATAATGCTTTATTTGAAGGATTTTCTGTGAGAAGCTGCACCCCACCATGATGCAGACCTGTGTCCTAGTGCTGGCTTCTCAGGGTCACTTCAATGAGACTGATCCACTAACACCACATAGACACCAGCTCTCACAACTGGTTCCTTGTGTGTGTGCTCGTGCACGCGCGTGTCCCTACAGTGCCACTAAGGACCTGCACATGCTGGGCTAGCACTCTTCCATTGAGCTACGGCCTCACATTATAAATCTTTTTATGTATCTCCTGATGCTTCTGCTTCATATTGAGCACTGACTGACAGGCCTCTGGCATGAATCATTCAGCTTTGTTTGTTTGTTTGTTTTTGAGGTAAGATCTCATTATGCAGTCCAGGCTAGCATTGACTGAGTGGGATTATCATGTGTCGCCACACCTAGGCATATAATTGTTTTTTTTTTTTTAATTAAGAGCCCTGTCAAAATAATTTGAAGCAAAGGAAGTAGCACAGCCTCCCATTATAGGGCCTTGGTACAGGCTTTGTGACACAGAACCCCGGACAACACTAGAGGAGAACGCCACACCTGTGACCATCCAGTGCCATGTGCATTAACGGCAGCTGACCCTAAATCCACAGGGCAGCACTGCTCCTAAGCAGTGCTTTACTGCAGGCTTCATCTCTACCAGCAGAGAGCTGGGAAGTGATAGCATTACTTTGGGGAAGCTCATCACTTTGTAAAGCTCTCTCTCATTGGCACTGCACAGTCAATACTGAAGAGTGGCCTTTCTAACAGGGTGGTGGTGGCGCACGCCTTTAGTCTCAGCACTCGAGGCAGAGGCAGGCAGATCTCCTGTATTACTCAGGGATCTGACTAATTCATTCTTTCAGGGATTTATATATATGAGGGATTTATTAAATATTATAAATATCTTTATATAGTCAGGAGTAGTGCTCTGTGCCTTTAATTCTAACATTCAGGAGGCAGAGGCAGGCTGATCTGAGTTCAAGGCCAATCTAGTCTACGGAGTGAGCTCCAGGACAGCCAGGGCTACACAGAAAAACCCTGTCTCAAATAAAATAAATTATTATTTTATTATTTTATTTGAGGGGGTTCACTAGAGTCATTTACAGACAGTGGTTTGGCTAGTCCAACAATAAGCTGTCTACCGATGAAAGGCCAAGAATCTGGTAGCTGTTTTGCCTACAAGGCTGGTCCTCAGCTTTGTAGGTTCTAATACCAGTGAGGTATTCAGCAGGAGAATTTGTCAGAGTTGTGTCAAGCATGCTGTAGAATAATGCTTTTGTACACTGGTTTAATAAAACACTGATTGGCCAGTAACCAGGCAGGAAGTATAGGCAGGATAAGCAAACAAGGAGAATTCTGGGAAGAGGAAGGCTGAGTCAGGAGACGCCAGCCCACCATCCAGGGAGCAGCATGTAATGGCACACAGGTAAAGCCATGGAAAACTTGGTGACATATAGATTAATGAAAATGGGCTGAGTTTAAGTGTAAGAGCTAGTCAGGGGTAGGCCTGAGCTAATGGCGGAGCAGTTTTAATTAATTTAAGCCTCCGTGTGTTTACTTGGGTATGGACTGAGTGGGACACAGAAAAACCTTCAGCTACACAAGCAGGCAAAAATCAAAAGCTTTCTTCCAAGTCCTTTTACATGGGCTGCCAGCAAAAGGCATGGCCCACCCTGCCCAGATTTAGGTTGAGTCTTTCTCACCTCAAATGATCCAGTCAAGATAATCCCTCACACATGTGCCAGCTGCTTGGGTTTTAGTTGGTACATTTGTCAAGCTGGCAAACAAGAACAGTCATCTCCTTAGCTCTATTTTTGGTTCTTTGTTTCTTAATGAAGGTGGTGATTTATGATCCTTGCTCCCTTTGTTCTGATGCTGCCTGGTGGCAGCTGCCATTTGTCCAGCGTATCTGTCTAGATCTTTCTGACCTGTGCTGTTAGTTTGCGGCACCCATCTTGGTCCTTTCCCACTTTTTCAGCAGCTCCAGGGCTTGGAGGGTCTTGCAGGCCACACTATTGGGCTGTTTCTCTGCCATCCTCCATAGGTCTTAGACATGGAACCACCCAGCTCTGCCCTATAGGTGCAGGTGCCACACTGTGGAATAGGGCCACTTCTCCCCATAGGGAGCCAGCTCTGCTTAGCCAGCACGACTGTCCACCCATCTGGGGACTTTGAGCTTCCCAGACTTTTTGAGGAAGGTTACCAGAGCTCTGAAGCTGATCGACATTTTTTACAGTAACTCTAGGCATTCCACTTCGTCTTCCATACACACCCAACAGGGGAAGGCTGGTTTTCGTTTTTTGAGATAGGGTCTTATGTATCCCAGACTAACCTTAAACCCTAATCCTCCTTCCTCTACCTCTCAAGTGCTAAGATGCCTGGTTTTAATGCAGATTCTTCTCAAATACCATATTTTATAAGGCTTTAATAAGGCCCACCCACAATTCTGATGTTCATAATTCAATATTTGAAAAACTTTTTTACAGTTATTTATTGTGCCCATGGGCACTCGGATGCCACCGTGCCAATTTGGAGATCAGAGGACAACTTTCAGGAGCTGTTCCCTTATCCTCTTACCATACAGGTCCTGGAAATCAAACAGGCAGCAAGCATTGACCCAGTGAGCCGGCCTGCACAGTCCAGTTTCTAGGACTCTATGAAAAGCTACTACACAGCAGTCAGCTGGTGTGATGGGTTGAATGTCATGTCTCCCAATAGTCTCAAGCGTTTGAATAACTGAACAGTTCCAGCTGGTGGAACTGTTAGGAAAGGATTAGGTGTGGCCTTTTTGGAGGAAATATATCACCGGGGCTGGGATTGCAGTTTCAGAAGCCTCCTGCTATCCCTAGTGCAAGCACTTTTACCACATTAGCCATCTTTACTCCAAACCTATTATTTCTCCATTTATTAGCTGCTCCTTTCCTGTTGACAGCCACGTCCCCTCCCCATTGCTTGTTTGGTGTTTCCGTGAATACATACTTTAGGTGGACGTTTCTGTCCCACCGGCAGCTCCCAAATGAACACACAGAGGTTTATATTATAAATGCTCGGCCAATAGCTCGGGCTTGTTACTAGCTAACTTACATTTAAATTGACCCCTATTTCTTATCTATGCTTTGCCACGTGGCTTGGTACCTTTTCTCAGTACGGCATGTCCATCTTGCTTATCTCTGTGTGTCTGTGGCAACTCCTAACTCCACCCTTCCTCCTAGCATTCTTAGTTTGGTTGTCCCACCTATACTTCCTGCCTGGCTACTGGCCCATCAGATTTTTAGTAAACCAATTTGAGTGACAAATCTTTACAGTATACAAAAGGATTATTCCACAGCAACTTACCAGGACCTAAAACACATTTTCAAGCTTCATTTTTCCTTCTGTGTTTACATGTGTGGGTGTGAGTACAGGTACCTGTGATGGCCAGGGGCATTGGGTCTCCTGAAGCTGGAGTTAACAGGCATTGTGAACTGCCAGGCAGAGGTGCTGGGAACTGATCTACCACGGGTGCACTCACTTCATGCTCTTCACTGCCCAGCCGTCTCTTTGGCCTGAGACACTTTTAAAAATACAGCATTTAAAGACTGAATTTGGAATAGGCCAATGAAACAGACAAAAGTCCATGCAACAAATTATTGCTGTATTAAAAGATCAGGGCTGGCCAGGCAGTGGTGGTGCATGCCTTTAATCCCAGCACTTGGGAGGCAGAGCCAGGTGGATCTCTGTGAGTTCGAGGCCAGCCTGGTCTACAGAGTGAGATCCAGGAAAGGCTCCAAAGCTACACAGAGAAACCCTGCCACCCCCGCCCCCCAAAAAAAGATCAGGGCTGTGCTGCATGTAGCTCAGTAATAGTGTTTCCTCAGTGATCTGTACCACTCCTGTTGCAGAAAATGTTGCTTCCCAGTGTTAGAAACAAAAAATAACCTCAGTGTTGCATAAAGGAACGGACAAGCAAAAACAGAGTAGCACAGCAAAGTCATTCATTTTGCAAAAAGGGTGTGCCAAGACTCAAACCAGGCTAGCAAGCACTGATCAAAATGGTTGTATTCTTTTACCCTGACCTAAGTGCTGCCTGGGTCTCAGGCCTTGACCTGCACTACTTAGGGCTTGATCTGACTGGGGTATGAAGAAACAGACACACATGTGGAAAAGCTAAGGCGT